CTCTAGGAGGTGGCCCTCCTGCTCGACTGGGCCTCCTCAACCTCCTCGTTCTCCGCCGTTGTCACTCCAATCCACACCAAGTAGACATGGCCACGTGGCGAACACTGTGTTTCAAGTCTCTCAGACGTTTTAAAGTTATGTTTCAAGTGTTTCATATTGATATTGTAAAGTAGATCTGGGATGTTGCATATGTTGCAATGACAATATACACATGTTACAAGCCTATGTTTCAAGTGTTTCACGTATTTCAGACGTATGTTGCAAATGTTCCATCTAGATGTTTCAAAAGTAGATCTTGGTGTTGCACATGTTGCAATGGCTATACACGCATGTTTCATCTACTTTTAGACGTATGTTGCAAATGTTTTATCTAAATATTTCAAAAATTGATCTAGTGTTGCACGTGTTTTTTACTCTAGTGTTGTACATGTCGCAATAAAGCCGACATGCCTCACCCGCCTCTCCCTCCCCTCCCTCCCCTCCCCTCTCTTCCCTTCCCTCCATCTCCTTGCCACGGCAGTTCGAGCTCAGCAAGGAAACCATACCTAACTAGCGTGCAGGCACCGGCAGAGGTGGTTGCCTCGGGTGGGCCCAACGACGGTGCGATGCCCGCGTGGTGGCCTCGCAGCAAGCTGAGTCCGCACCGTCCGCTCATGAGCAGCCGCGAACGTCTATGCGCTAGTCCTGCTGTTAATATTATCAGGAGTAGTTGCTAATAATGGGTTTGATGATTGTGATTCAACGTACTGACGATGTATGTATAGGATGGGAATTAAATGCAGGCCAGGCATCCCGTCAAGTTGTAGATATATGTGCCACCCTTCCAATAATTGGTCTGCTACGAACCTTCACACCTCAACTCGATAACAAATGGAGGTTGTGGTACAAATTCGGATACAATTTGGGTATAAAATCAGAGGGCAACTAGAGGCGAGACTGGGCTAGGCAGCAGCAACAGCAGGGAATGGGATCAGCGAGGGAAATCGAGGACGAAGTAGGCCGAAGCCCACATCCAGCGCTATCAAATTCTGATGTAGGCCCACCCCACTGCATAGTACGTGACAAACTGTAGTATCCAATTCTTCTGTGCTAATTGTATGTCTTCGTCACATGCCTCCACTTCCTAGTTTGATCTCCAACGGAACTCATCTCCACTCTCCTACAGAAAATAAATAAATACGGAACAATGCCATTTTTTTAGAAAAAAATGATTTAGTGCAAAACATATTTTATAATACACATGTTGTGTCCTAGATAAATACAAAATGTGTCCGTCCACCTAGCTACCTTTTTGAAAATAAAAAGGAGAGCGCAGGAAATGCATCCTTCTGTTCGGCCGTGGATGGTTATCTGTCACCTACTAAAACTCTCTTCCATATGGGAGCTAGCTAGAGCGACGATTTTTTAACAATATTTCTCAGTGTACGGGCGATGAGCAAACATTGCTTCTCTGAGTAATTAAGCACAACACTGTAATCTCGACTGCTCAATAGTAGAGATTGGAATTATTTCTCCATCGCATTTTTTGGACATCATATTAGTAGAAAGTGAACATTAATGCAAATTTGTCACGACGCCTGCAAGTCTGAACCAGAACACCCCCACCCACCCACACACACACACACACACCGGCCACCGCCGCATACAGACAAAAAGGGTGAGATCTGCCCAAGTAGCAGTAGTAATTAATGAACTAGTTGTGGCAGAGAAAATAAATATTGGTATCTGATGAAATAAATATTGTATCTTTCACATCCCTATTTCACCACAAATAGAAAGAACACAACCTGGCCCAACGATCGGTTTTCAAGTTAATCTTTTTACTAAAGTATTTTTTTTAAATAGATATGAATGTATACTTAGTATAGGCCAATAAGCATGGTAACCTGCTTGATTGCACCATGTACTCCCTCCGTTCTAATCTGTAAGATATTTTGTTTTTTCTAGATACATTATTTTTACTACGTATCTAGATATAGTGTACATCTAGGTGCATAACAAAAGTGATGTATCTAGAAAAACCAAAACGTCATATAATTTGAAATGGGTATCTTTCATTAGTTCGCATTGTGTTTTGTGCGGAAATCACACAAATGAAATCCAGCCACGGCAAATAATTCACAGACAACGAACTGGCGTCTCATATAAATAACTGGGTAAGAAACTCTGTAGTATTATTATCAGGTACAAGGGAGAACGTGTTGCAAATCTCAGACCTCTTGAACATGTATGAATCTATGTTCTAAACCCGAAACCAAATCTCAGGGCTCATTCTGCGCTCAGGTCCTAGTTGGAAGGTGCTGGAGGAACATCACCATCCCCATCTCCTAGAAATCCAGTTTCCGCAGCTTGTCTTACCACTGTGGAGGACAAATGAATTAAAACGGGTTGAAACTCGACATCAGAAACTTGAACAATCTAGCATGCATGACAGAGACGTCGCGATTGGTGTGTACTTAAAGCACGTGAACCTCTCTTAAGTTTAAGGTGACCCTGTATGTCAAACATTTACTCAAGTAGGACCTTTTGTTCAACGTTGCGTGATCTGAAGTGTTGGTATTGTGCAGGTTCTAACAACTCGATAATGATTTGCGCAAACTAGTTACCAGTAAGGGGTGTCATAACTTACTGTATGTAAACAAGGAAATTGATCTGGTAGACAGTCTCCTTCAGCAGGATATGTATCCCACAGGTGTGTGACAAGACGAAAGGGTACCTGCAATTTTGTGGAAAGATAGCAATTTAATGTGTGTGTATATGTATGAAGTGCAAAATTAGGTGTTGAAAGACAAACCTCCCGTAGCATAATGCAACTGAACCAACAGACTGAAGAAACTCTAGTCATTGTTCTTAATTGTGATTTGACACTGCTTCTGCAAATACCCAAAATAAGATGTCCAAAAAAGGTGCTTTTCCGGTATATATGGGGAAACATAATTCTGTAAGGTTACAAGCAGATCTCATTTCCACAATTATTTTTAGTGCTAAGAGCCACTAAATACTACACAGTTCATAAGCAGGAAAACAAATTTCCAAAAAAAAAGCTGATTCAGTGGAACAGTACCGACTTACCGTCTTTATGATGAACAAGTTTCTTCAGTCTAAAAAGGGCTCTGAATTCCTGGTTGCGCAAAGGTAAGATAAGGCACTCTTTCGCCACAGCACATTTTTCTCACATCGAAGCAGACTGTTATCGAAGACACCGATAATAGCCTGTTTGGTAGTTAGACATGTCATGTGGAGAAAGATTGCCCGTACACCAGGTGTCCATGTTGCCCTATAGGCTTTCCAATAAAAATGCGACCAAGCATGGCATAGCAAGGTCATTTATTCCTTGGACATAGTCACTTGCTGGATGATGAATGGCCCTGAAATTGTCGAATAAAAAACAAATAACAAAGATAAGATGATTGTATTATGTGTGACATAGTCAATCTGCCAAAAAAAAGAGAATGGCATGAAAAGTCATGTTTAAACCAGCAGCGTTGGATTGCTACAAATGAGATTTTTTTTAAAAGAATAAAATAAACAAGTTACCATATGGGACAAGGAAAATAAACACATAATTGCAATTATTTCATCTAAGTCTCCAGATAGTGTGAACTTAATACAGGTGATGCACTAGCATGAAGACAAAATACTTGCAAGTCCTAGAAATAATCAACAAGTTATGATTGTTAAAAAATAATTGTTTCATGTGTCAATGAAATTGAGAATTTTTTGCTAATGTAATCAACTTACTATGATAGTGCCACAACAGAAGATATATGATATAACTCATGTATAGCTCCAGATTTAACAGCACAAATCGCTTAGGCCTTATTTGGATGCATGTGTATCCACTTCAATTCATACGTGTTGGAGTGAAATGGAATGTAACTTAGTTTAATTCCACTCCAGTCCACTTCAACACACGTGGATTGAGATGAATACACGTGCATCCAAACAAGGCCTTTGATGGAAACTCAACAAGGCATTTGATGGTTCACCAATTAGTTTTACAAAATTGGTTCTACTTAAAGAATTTCCCCCAATTCTATAGCAAACCAACAAGAGATCGGGACTTTGCACAAAATTGTATCCACTTAATCGTGTCCCACCAAAACACATAAGAGTTTCTATGGATAAAGATGAATTTCACAAAAGCATGTATTTCCACATGGACAAGAAGCACTTGGTCAACTCCACAAGGAGGAAAGTCATGAATCGAAATGTCAAAAGGGCACATTTCAACACTGAACAAGCAATAAAAATGGTCCATCCAAGTGACACCTTACCATGTATAGAGAATGTGTTCCAGAGATTTCTAAAAATGCAGGTGCTGGAAAAAAAAGGCAACATCAGGTAGAGTGTTACAAGAATAAGATGATGGCCCAAGCCTGGCCCAAACTTCAGAACGGTCATCTTACACTTGATTTAGACCGACTTGGTTGTTGAGGAACTTCGATGCACTACACAGAGAGGGCCAACTTTGGGAGAAATTATTCTTGGGGAATCCTAGCTTCTCAATTTAAGTGTAGGTTATGCTTTTGCATGACCTCCTGCAAAATCCTCTCTATTGCTAATGCTTCTGAACTTTATTTGAAGAACCTGAAACAAGGTCAGAAGCACTAGTTGCCAAGCAATCTTGACCATTACTAGACAGTGGTCAGCATGTATTTAATTTTTCCACAACAAGGAATCATGAGAGGAAAGAATACATAAAGGAAAGCAATTAGAAGCACTAGTTCTTGAGGCCACAAGAAGCTTCCAAGAGATACATCGCTAAACCGGTAGAACACAGGTTATAGCATGATAAGGTTCAGCTTATTCGGTGTCCAACTTGCATGCACTATGTAAAGTGCGCATATCATGAGTTAACTAAAAATAGTTCAACCATGCAAAACAAGCCTGCAGTAGAAACTTCGGTTGTCCATTTGAAATTTGTGTTGGCTACGAAGCAACACCTAAGCTTCAAACACAACCATGCTTGCATGCCGCTTATTTTTCATATTTGTTGGCTACTCCTCAGAAACTCCATCAGCAAGAGTATTGGCCATAGCATCTCCATCATCAACAACCTCCTCATCATCATCATTAGCTGGGACATCATCTCCATCTAGGGGAGCAGCAGAAATAGCAACATTGCCATCACCATTCTCTCTTTCTTCCTCTTCCTCTGCATTGTCCGCAACTGCCGGCAAAAAGTTTTGTTACCTTAGACATATTATAACGAGTTCGGCATTGTATAAGATAATAACAACTTATGATGCACTAAGTGCTTTAAATATACAATATAACTTCTTTAGTTTTGTATTCATATGACTCGGAAACGAATGTGTCAGCATGTAAGGTAATGCGTGTTACTGTGCGCACCATTCTCTTGTTCTTGTGGAACTGGAACAATGTAGATCCTCTTGACAGAAATGACAAAAATCCTGCAGTATTAACTTGTTACTACTTTTACATAACAAGCATTGTTGGTAATTTGGAAAGGAGAGACAAAACAAAACATATATACATCGAGTGAGGAAGAGTGAGTGAGAGAGAAGTTGAAGGACTCACTCCCATGGAACTTCCCCAAGGAAGAAACGATCACCATCCACGTTATCATAGAAAAGAATGAAGTTGTTGTCATCTGATGCCCCATCAACTTCATTGTTTACTAACCCATTAAGTTCACATGATGGCACTATAAAATTGAACAAAAATGAATAAATTAGTATTGCCATATTCGAGCTTGATTATATATATTTTTAAATTGTGATGTACGTATGTGGTTGTGTGTCCTTAAATAAATTTATAATGATTTTGTAAGAAATCTATAGTTGTGTTACATGAAAAATGGAAGTGAATCCAATACCACTTACTCTATAGAAGAACACTTTTGATAGATTAAGTACTTGTAAAAGTAGAAAGTGGGAGGCACCTAACCTTACAATTCTATATTAAGAAAAAAAGGTGCCAAAAAATAGAGCCAAACATGACTTGAACCTAGGAAATGGAGCTGTGCACCCATCATACCTCCAGCTACGCTCACAGTTGATGCACAATTATGGTAGTCTATACTATTTGATTTCCACTTCAAGAGAAAATCAGCAAAACATTATATAATAGATCCTCTGAGTGCTTGATCCCAATTAAAAGATGCAATTTTACAAGATACTCTAATGTCAATTCTTGCCCCTCATGATTTTGCATACATCAGAAGAAAGAAATTGACTCAAGATCTTAGAAGATTACATATGTGCCATAATTACTAGATAGTATTTATAATCTAGATCCTCTATAAATTGGTTGCTAGGGTGATATAAGTTAGAAACTAGGATATCATTCTTGGTGTAAACAAGTATGTTGAGTTGGATGGATCATAGTCAAAGATTTATTCAATTAATGCTACAAATCCAAGTGAATCAAGAACAACTACATCGACATATTCACCAAAGATGTGTATGGAGAAGTTTTACTTACTGGAATAGTTGTTGCCTAATCTTTTTAAGGTGAAGGACAACGAGGCGTAGTTCTGGTGAGTGGCCAGATTTATCTTCCTCCCAACAACTTCACCTTGCATGAAAACCTTCACAAACATTGATGGTGAGAATCTAGGACGCACCTCAACCTCAGGCGTAACAGAAGTATTGATACTCTTGATCTCATCCATAAGAGATTAGTGCCGGACTCCTAGTACGCTCTGATAGATATCTATTAAGATGCCCAAATTAGTTGTCACTAGGAAAAATTGCATATCTTGTGTCAAAGAGAGAATAATGATTCTAATATTGAAAAAATGGAAACAAATGAAATGTAGGGATGCAAGGTTTCTCCTAACCTTGACAGATGATATCCGTGCAGATCACAATAGGCATACCGAGTCGAATGCCAACTGTGGGTATTTATAACACATGGAGTGACCCTACTATTAAATGAAGTTCAGCTAGCATAGCCATTATTCACAACTACCCTTGTATAATATAGTATTTTAAAAAATTATTCCAAGATAGCTAGTCTTTTCATCTGCACATATATATATTTTCAATAGTATAAGGGGCTCAATTGAAAATATGTGGTTGACTTGCAAGTATATATCTATAACATTTAATGTCCTATGAATAAATTTCAGCATATCTCACTCTTTAAAAAATGTTACATTGCATTTATGTTACATAATAATTGACCTTCACCAGTACATATGCAGCCACGCGGTTTGTTGTCTTCTTTACGTGTAGAAAACAAATCAACTGGTTTTCTTAAGTTACTTTCTTAAACTCCATAGCATGGTGATGAAACCGGTTTGTCTGTATTATATGGTTTTTTCCTTCATAGGTTCTATGCTTTTGTAGAATTTTCTCTTTATTTTACAATAAATACAAATCATATCTCATCATATGTTTATGAAAATCAATATTCCACCTTGTATTGAATACGTTACTCCACATTTGATACAAATTGTGCATTGTAGAAAAATTTCCACTCGAAGTACCAATCCACAAAAATTCCAATACTTCCTCTTGTTGTTCACAGATTAAATTCATCATTGTTTCACTAAAAAACATGCTAAAACAATTCTGTTAGGTAAAATCTTGGATCCAATATTGCTCTATTGCACACTTGTATTGGTTTCGTATTATGAAAAGTGATCATTGATGACTCTTTGGGTGCAATATTCAACTAACATATAGTACGCGGATACATAATTTTAATTGAAATATAATATTTTTTAGATTTCCATGCATATATTAAACTAGTTGTGGGGAGGAGAAAAGACAAAAAAAATGAACAAGAGACAAATTTGTAATTATGTAGATCATGGTAAATACGTAATCAGTGTAATCGAGTTCGTGAAATTAAATAATATTGTTAACTATGCCAAGGTTTCTTAATTTTCAAGTTTAAGAAACAATTTAAATATGTTTTACATTTTGTATATAATAGTAGCATCATATAATCTACCAACACTAAGGAAAGGCAGACACTATATGTCTAATTAAACATTAGTTTGCACAAAGCAAACAAAATGAAAAAGCTCACTTTCAATCAAGATTTCCTTTATCTATTACGCTAGGTATAACTTTTAGAGAATTAAAAAGAGACCATTTTATAGTAAACACTAAGAACAATAAGACCTAGTTGAAAAATCTATTAATTTATCATCATGCTACCAAAGTTCATCACAAGATGGTTGGGTAAAATCATTAGGCTAGTCTAACCATCTTGCCTTGCATAATATGTTACTCAACTATAGTGCCCGACACAAATAATTTGCCTTCTATATATTAATTTGATGGTTGGGAACTTCATTGCTTTATTGATCCATTGCTCATACTGATGATTGCACCTTTAGGAATGTCCCAACCATTTCTTCATACATTGACAAGGAGTCTTCAGTTCACATAAACCTTATATCAATTATGCCCAAAAAATAAAAATAGCCTTGATTATGATACCCTCTTTCAATTCACATGCTTCAAGTCACTTCGTGTTGAACCATAATTTCCATTGTATATTGAAGCCAACCCTAGTACTATTCTCTTTTGTTGGGATTAGATGTATAAAATTTTGTGGAGGTATGGAGACCAAGTGTTGCTCGGGATTCTTAAGGGTTGAAAGATATTCGGAGATGGGCATGTTCTAGTGTTGTATAGAAAAATAAGATTATGGAATAATAAATTTAAGATATAGGAATTTCATAGTAATGATTGTTTTCATTAGGAAATAGCACCACTACTCGACCACAATCCCTAAGGTTTGAAGTGGTAAAGACTTTGGAGGGTCACACAAAGGAAAGGCTTGCGAACCAACTGTCGTGTCCATCTTTGTAGCACCACCACATGTTACTTTTTTCTTAGTAAACTAAATATGGTTTAGATGTTAAGACTAAAACCATTATTTAGTTTGTGATAGAGTTAGGATATGCACACCATTTACTTGAAACTTAAGAATACCAAGAACTAGGGTGGGCATTCATATGATTAGAAATTTAGTTTGTTATTTCAAGAAATATTCTGTCCTCTTAAAATGAACTGAATTAATGACAAAAGTTTTGGTGACCTATGGTTTGGAATTTTCTATTGGTCAGTATTTCAGTTAGGAGAAAGGTCACTAACACTAGGAGTGTGTGATTGTGCTTACATAGCATGGCAGGATCCAAAAGCGCTAGGAGCTAAGGTCTAGGGCATTGGAGTACTGAGTAGTGAATGCCATAGGATCAGTGTGTAGTTGTTGAGGTGGCGAGCTGTGCAACCATTAGGAGTGTCGGGTTGCTTGGAGGTGTCCAACTACGTGTGGGTACCGAAAAGCGTCTATTAGCCAAATGGTCCACGACAAGCTACAAGCTGTAGCCTGTAGGCTATCTACTAGACTAGGTGGTCTGCGTGTGTCAACTGAGGTCATGTCTAGCTCGGCGCCTAGACGGGAGGGGCAACATCCTAGGGCCTAGGCCAAGAGGGGACCCACAATATCACATATATACATCACGCAACCACACTTTGCTGCTCTCCTATTGCTAAGTGGCCTAGCCACTCAGGAAATTTTGTGCCTTCACATAGTTTCTCATTATCAATCCATTGTGTATTATTAGTTAATTTCTTAGCATGTTAGATTAATAGATGTCAGAGTTTCTAAACTTCTAATTCTATGTATTTGTTAGTTATTTTCTTAGCCAATTATTTCTCTATTATCTAGGATATGTACCTAGGTGTGAAACATGAAGAACAAAATGACTGTAATTGTGTATTATGCCAATATGTCAAGTAAGATTCTAAGACTGGAGTTTTTTGCATCAAGAAATGTTCAAATGTGTTTTGTTTTATAGAACTGGAGAATTATTATTGATGGAGTTGTGGGAAGTTTGGTTTTTAGCTAAGATAATCATTCTTGTTTCATTTGACTACTCTTTTAGTTTATATTATCAACATTTTTCAAGAATTAAGTACATGTTACTAGTACTACTATATTCTTTATCATGTTGCAAGTAAAAAAGAATATTTGGTCAAAAGGGCCATATTATCTCTTCTACCCTAGGGCTCTCAAAACTACAAAGCTGGCCTTGACCAGGGTTGATGGCTGAGCTATAGGTGGGGTTGAATAGCTCATGGGTGGTGATAGAGCGAAATGAATAATGCCTAGGTTAAACCTTGGGCTAATCAAACATTGTTCGAAGCTCTTCAGGCTGCTTGGTTAACTAAGTATGATGACTAAGGTAAAGAAGATTAAATCATTATTCTAGGACCAAAACCCAATTGGGATTTCAGTTTTTAGGGTTTGGTGTCACATAATACTGAGTTGGTATGCAAGATGATATTTGAAAATTGGGGAAACATGATAAACACAAAGTGGTTAACAAGTCATATATCTGCCTTATTTATCACTGCTGAGACCAATGTTGACAGCATGTTTCTTCCTTTCTAGATTTTTTTCTTACATAATGATCAAAATTATATGCACATTGATTAGGAAACAACAACGGTACAACATAACTCACGTAGATACTAGCTACCTCACTTAATAGTTAGTACAGGAAGAAAAGTACATAATTTGGAGCTATATATGCCAAATCAAGAGATGTGCAAGGATATGGTGCATATATGCTCATGTCCTTGTGACCACTTGCTTGAAGAGTGCCAGTCATTTGTTGGTTCTTTGGTTTTATATTTTCTGTCACCTTCACCTTGATTTGAAAAGAAATTGTGTAACAACCATATCATGGTATAAGCAACATTGATTCATGAGTGGTAGTCACTATCGTCTTTATCTGTACCTAATATAAAAAGGCAAAATTTCTCTCCACCCTATTTTTCATTCGGCCCAACTAGAAGCCCACTCACTCGCCGCGCTCGCACTCACACTCCTCCACTCCTGTCTCCATAATGCACGTCACCACCGCTCCATCCTCTCCAAAAAACACACCACCACCGCCACTCGATACCTGGTTGACTGTGGGTCAAGAAGAGATCTGTGGTGTTAGGAGCCGATTGAACGGTCATCACGTGGCTCTATTTCTTGGCCACCGTCGCAGCAGGGGAGGGAGCATGCTCGCATGACGGTGTGCATCTAGGAGGCCGCCATGATGGTGCTCTGGTGGGCAGGGGTCACCACTGCATGGTGGAGGCCAAGCTCGGCCTAGCGAGCATGACGGTGAAGATTTGGGTGGCGGAGACGAGTTGGTGGCGGTGGTCGACGAGGACAGACGACAGGTTGCAGTGGAGCTTAGGCGAGCTTTGGAGGAAGACGATGGAGCAGTGGATTGGCGTCGTGGAGCGGTCTGCTGGATGTGAGTTGAGCTTGTGGTGCCGAGGGAGAAGAAATCATGGACTAGGAGGTCTCTAGAGAGGAGATCGGGTCGACGGCAGTGACCTCGGCCATGGCATCGATGGCATTTGGGGGTGGCTCTAGAGCGAGGGAGGGGATGCGGGCAGGGCCGATGTGGCGGCGATGAGTGTGCATGGTGTAACACCCCAGAAGAACTGGTACCCCGATGATGTGCTCTTGTTAGATTGTAGTGCGATAATACTCTAGAAGGATATTTTTGTTGTTGTTTTCTTCTAGGGTGTTACACATGGTCCTCAGGGCCAGCGTATATAGGGCAGAGAATGGAGCAGAGGGCCCGAGATGGAACTCGTGCATCTGCTAATGGCGCCGGGCATGGTGGCTCCTGATTATGGC